CATCCACTACCCTCTCAGTAAAGTAATAATACATACAGGACTAATAGTATGAAGTACCTACTTTATATGACAACACCAATTAGTTGTCAAGATCCCAATGCCATCTTTAAATGCCACCAGAAGGACATTCCCCTGGACAAAATGAGGAAAGGGCATCATGACTGCTGCCCAAAATGGAAGATCGGGAGGTCCCAGTTAGGGTTACAATGTGTCTAGAGTAATTGGTTCTCCCTTCTATTTTTCACTTTCACCCTCACCTATCCTTCTGCTCACCCATTCCTGGTGACACCATCTTCACTGTAAAGAGGGACCTTTACTTCCTTCCTCTCTCTCTTTTCGTCCCATGCACTTTAGTCGTACCTATCCAACCTTTTTCCATAAACTTATCCTACATCCTCGAAATGCATGTTCGCACACCAAACATTTAAATCCTACTCCCACTCTTCCTTTCTATCATTTTGTTCCTGGCATCTGGTGATGTCTCTACATCCCTGGTCCTCCACTCACCTACCTTATACTAACACCAGAAACCACAACAATCTGATATCCATCCCATGTAACTCTCCCTCTAAACTCTTCTTCCACACTGCTCTCTGGAATGCATGCTCTGTGTGCAACCCCATTAAATCAACTTCAATCTATATCACATTCTCTAAACTTACTTGCCCTAACTGAAATATGGCTCTCTCCCTGTGATACTGCTATGCCTGCCTCACTACCCTTTGGTGGTTTTCATTTTACCCAAAACCAAAGACAGTCCGATAATAATCGTGTAGGATTTCTGCTTTCACCCCACTGATGCGTCAAAACTCTAAGCACCCCTTCCTCCTCTGAAATTTACCCAATTCATCTGTTCAGACGTAGCTGTTATCTATCGCCCTCCTGGTGCCCATTTTCTCTTCCTTTACAATTTTGCTCCATGGCTTCTATACTTCCTTTTTAAGCAATATTCCATCCCTAATTCTCATGGATTTCAGTATCCCCATTAACCCACCCATGACCTCAGTAGCTGCAAAAAGTATTTCTATTACCTCCTCCCTTGAATTATCACAGTGGGCAACTTCTCCCACACATGTAGCTGGCAATGCCCTTGATCTTGTTTTTTCTATGGCATTCATGGACCTTAATCTATGTGACACACCTTATTTCCCCTCTCAGATCATCGCCTGTTCTAATTTGTTCTTGAGAGCCCCATCACCCAAGATTCTCATCCCAACATGCCTCACCTCTGAAGAAATCTGAATTCTATTGACCTGCAGCATTCTGAAGTCCATCCATCCCTACCTCCCTCTCTGGCTATTGCCTCGTATAACACTATTCTCCCCTCTGCCCTGGACACGGTAGCCCCGCTTCAATCATGCACCTCAAGAAAGATGTGTCTCCAACCGTAGCACATTAAGTCAACTCGCTACCTGCAAAGATGCTCCAGTTCAGCTGAACACTGCTGAGGAAGTCTCACACCTTGTCAGACTTTCTCCATTATAAATTCATCTTGTGTTCATACAACGCAGACCTCACCCTTGCTAAACACTCGGTTGTTCATCCTCCAGCAATCCCAGGCATCTCTTTGATACCTTCAACTCTCTCCTCCACCCTGGTGAATCCATGCCCCCAAACTAACCTTTCAGCCTATAGGTTTGCATGCTACTTTTGAAGAATTCTCCCCACCTTGCTCCTCTCTCTCTCAACTGCAATTGGATCGTACATTCCCTACACTTCAGGCCTTCTACCCGGCTACTGAATAGTAGGTGGCCGCGCTTCTCCACTGCTCTCGCTCTACCACTTGGTACACTTGATCCTGTCCCTTCTCACCTTATCAGATCTCTCTCTCCTTGACAAAAAAAACCTTGCACAGCAGAACATTAACATGAGAGTAATGCTACACTCTAGAGATCTTGGGTCCTAATAAGAGAACTAATCTATGCACAAAATAAAGTGACAGTCCAGATCTAAGGGATACAAATGCAGCCATGTGCCAAACCCTCATATCTCCATTAGACATGTAAATTCTATGTTTAGCATGGACTAAGGACTAAAAATACTCACTAATGCGGCTTGGAATTGCAAGAAGAGGAGAAGAAAGCCTGCCTAAGATGTGATTGATATGAATCTGCTGGCTGTGATTGATTTATTAGACATTGAAGAAATTTGAAAGTTCTGGACTACATGTCTATCTCAAATAGTTGTTTTTCTTGGGCACTATTATTAGGAAAGACATTTTTTTTATACAATAACATTAAACAACTAGGCAATGCATCCTTACTAGGGATTAAAATAAATGTTCCTAGTGAATGGGAGCGTTCCCAAATAAAGCAGAGATTTTGGATGCTCTGAGGAGTATACAGTTTATACCCCAGCAGAAAATTCCACTGATCACATAGAATGAAAGGAACACTGTAATACCACATATACTGATGGCACCTATAGAGTAGCTGTTGTTAATTTATTGTTATACACAGCTTGGCTCACAGTTTTGGGCACATACCAATGCACATGCCTATGCCACACACATCTTGGAAAAAAATCATAAAGTCAACGCAGAAGATTCCTGCTTCCTGATTGCCAGCTTTAGAGAGGCTGTATAATGGACGCATCCATTTTTACCAATTACTTCAGCTATAAGCCACTTATTGCAATAATGCAAAGTTGTTACAGTTCAAAGAGTGAACAGGTGGATTTGCATTGCATTATACCGGCTTTCCTTCTTCTCCATCTCGTATTCTTGTCACCTTGCACCCTGAACCTTTCCTCTATCCCACCCACAGATCTTCCTCGTCTCTCTGTCCACCAGTTCAATATCTCATCTGATCTCTGTCCTTCTAAAGCCTGGCACTGGATAAAAGTAAGTGGCAGGAGGGGGGCCTTAAGGGTGGGTGGGACCTAAGGATTATATTGTGTCAGGAAAATTAGTTTGTTTTCCCGACACTATAGTGGTCCTTTAAGTTGCCTAATATGGCCTAATATGATACTCCAGGTTAATATCAATCTGTTCCTGAACACCTTAAATAAATGAAGGGTCTTCGACGAACCAAGAAGCTACCTCCATGTTGTTAATGCAGAAGGCTCAACGCCATATTGTCAAGATGGTAGATGCCCCTTAGCACTGGAAAGACCCTCACTGCATGCATTCTTAAATGGTTTGATATTAAATCGTGCCAAGGAAGGCGGCAGGGCCAGTAAACTAGAATGGTTACGTTGCTTAGAGTGTCTCTTTAAAAACTAGAAAAAATCTCAAAGTATTATTTGTGGTAAAACATTTTCTTTAAATAATAAACTAAAATTCTCTTTAAATAATAAAGTATTAAATTCTTTCAACCTTGTGTCCAAAATCAAATAATAATAATGATGGTGAACTAGCAGTCGTATGATACTTCCTAACAAACACTGGATCCAAATATAGAAATCAAGTTCCATTTAATTATTATGTACGATAAGCACGGCCAACCTCTTGGGAATAAATTTAGGTATTCTCTTCTGGACAAACTCGTTTCCCTTTGTCACTTTGAAAACTATGTTTCAATCCAATGCTAGCTACATGGCCAACAGATTATGTGGTGCTTTATAAAGTGTTTTTATTTTTTTATTTTTTTATTCCATCAAAATATATATAAGAACTAACAAGCCCGTACCAAAGTATATCCTAAAAAGTACTCCATAAAACAGATTTATTATTCCATTTCAAATAGGGTATTGTGTAGCGGTTACAAAACTTGTGAGCCTTTTTTTTTTTATTCAACACATCTGAGAAAAAGTGTTAGTTATAAAAGTGAAGTGCTCCACTTCTTAAGAATTAAGAAAAATGTAATGCAAGATATAAATGACTCATTTTTAGGGGCTGTAAGTCATAAACATCTGTCCATACTTACAGGAATACTGGAAACTTTCATCCAGGGTGCCAACATTAGGAAGATTATAAAGTACTGTAGTAGCAAAAAAAAAAAAAAAAAGCCCAGTCATTAACACGGCAGCCTAAATACTACCCCCACCCCACATGTGGAATTTAGGGGTAAAAAACTACTGTTAAAAACTAAATTTTTCTAATCGGAGCAAGAGAGTTTAAAAAAAAAAAAAGTTCCCATTCTTTCACCCCTCCTCCAGGCTACATTCCAGCCTAATCCCCAGGTCTTCTAAAACTATCCATTGCAGTATTTTCATCCCTTCCTTTTAGCCAACTCCCCCCGCCCCCCAGGCATTTCCCATATCTCCACAACAAGACTTTAATATGTTTCCCCACTTTTAAGAGTCACTACACTGCTACACTTTTTTTTTTTTAATCTATTTTTCTAGATTTCTACTCTGTTCTCTCGTTCCCTTAATGCCATTACTAAAAGAAATCAGCATGAATGCCATATTCCCCCAGGTTTTACTGCTTCTCTTTTAGTGGAGGGTGTCATCTTTTGAACCCCCTCCATCAACCCTTTCCTGGACCTTTGTCATTCATTCAGTGCTCAAAGATGCAAAGCTATTGCTGCTCATGGGAAGGTACTGGGGCATAAATACACTGTGCTGCCACCTTGTGGTAACTTTCTAAAGTGCTAATTTTATGATTTCTATAATTATAGTTTTCCGAGGACGTCTGATGTGTCTCCTCAAGGTGATAGACCCACTTTTTCCCCTCTTGCCTTTTATTGAACTATTCACTTTGTCCTTATTGTTGCAGTCATTGATTTCAAAATATATTGATTAACTCTCATTAGATCCAGTCATTTTGTAGGTGCTTCAATACGCACTTTTGACGGGTGAACGAGTACATTAAAATATCTATTTCCAAGAAACTGTAAAGTGTCATGAATTGGCTGCCAAAAATTAACACTTTTTTTTTTTTCTCAAACTAGCTAAAGTGGGAAATTTCCAACCTATCTTGTTGTACAATTTAACACATTTTGCCCACTTCTTAACTAATTGCAATTTCAAGTTTACTGAATAAAATTTTATAATTTTTTTTGCGTTTTATTATTCTTTCAGTCTTGAGAATCTTAAGAAAATTCACTTTGACACAGCTGAATTGTGCTTTATTTTTGCTTTTAATAAAAAATTAAATATAAAATTTGTACAGTGATAAATTATAAATTTACAAGATATATACAAAATATAAAATTCATATACAAAGCTAAATATTTTAACAAGAAGGTTCACAAATTCATGTCTAACATGAATATAGGACTTGTACCAGGAAGTTATCACACATTTAAAAACCATTTTGGGGTTTATTCTCTTAACTGGCTATTATGGAAAATCGGCAAGAAATTTGCAAATTTAGGGCTAAAATATCCAAACTGGGGGGAAAAAAAATTACCAACTATTTGTTTAGCTACTTTGTTCTAAAATGTATAATTTACTTGTCAATTAGTCGCAATGAGCAGTTTAGTAAATAAACCCCTATATGTTTAATAAAATGTTGTTTCCACCACATTTCAGAGGCACAAGAATACAGCCAACACACATACATTCTTCTAAATAAAACAAATGCAAGGTTTTTCGCAAGCATCATTTGAAATTACAAACGCCATCTTGTATTATCCGGCTCTAAAAATGCTTAAAGGGACAACAAGATAAGGCTAAATACAAGTAAGGTGAAATAATTTAATACATTATGTTGCTGTTTTTGCTGCATTTTTGCTCTTACTCTAGAGAACACTTTCTGACTGACCGTTTGGGGATGAAGGATGGAAAAACAAAATGGCGCCTGTTACCTGTTGACAAACAACATCTTAATTCTACGTATATTAAAGTATGAAAGGATGTATTTGTTTTTGTTAACAATACAAGATGGTCTTTTACAGATGACAAACTTGGATATTAGATATATTTTCCTTTAACGGCACGGTCACTTGAGGGGTTTCCAAGGCACCATGTCTGCTTGCATATTTGTATTGAATGAATAGAGAAGATTAAATTAACCTCTCTTTTCCATGTTCTGCCATCTTCCAGTTCTATACAATCTTCTGCTATTGTCAGATGAAGTCGGATCAACAGGGCAATCGCTCATAACTAAAAGAATAAAAAATGGGGTACCACGGAAGACCCTGCAAAAGCACAAGATACTCTATAAATCATCTAGAACAGTGGTTCCCAACCCAGTCCACGGGAAACCAACAGTAGTCCAGGATTTAGGGATTACCCTGTTGTGTCTAGAGTGTTTTTTTTTTCTTTCTTTCTAAAAACACCTTAGACACAACTGGGTAATGCCTAAATCCTGGATTGTTAAGGGGGTACTTTAGAACTGGGTTGGGAACCACTGTTCTAGAACATATGCTATGAAAAACTTAAAATGACGCTTTATTGAATATCAGTATTCCTCCCACTTATAGGATGGTTCTCTTTTTATCTATTTTAGTTACAAGGAGAGGAAAAATTCCTTGAGTATGACGCGCTCCAAAAAAGAAAGGCACTGTTTCATTTCTCAACATAATTAGTTTAAAACTGAAAAGTAGACGCAACTTAAAGAAACAATTATTATGTTGTTATAGCTGGACACGGGCCTGCGCAGCCTGCCAGAACTTGTTTTCTTCTAGAAAATACATTGGGTTCATTCACTAAATAGTGGGTTAAGGCAAGTCGACAAACCAATTTGCAAAATTTAGGAGAATATAAAAACTCTGTCCTAATTCCGACTTTAGCCAACGTTCATTAGTCTACACCACTAAGCTATTAAATCCCTTAAAATTACAGTCAAAGCAGGTTGTAGTGGGTATGTTGCCAGGAGTAGCTTGCAGTCCACCAATGTAAGTAGTTGATCATTCTCAGCCAATGAGCTAAAACCTGCATCAAATTTTTTCAGTTCTGCTATTTTGGCATTAAATGTAAAATTTACTTCCAATTCCCGGCAATTCTCACTGTGATGATTAAACCTGATATGAGGGGATTTGATGCTGTCCAATAGAATGTTATATAGTGGTTTAACCCCATAAGGACCAAACTTCTGGAATAAAAGGGAATCTTGACATGTCACACATGTCATGTGTCCTTAAGGGGTTAAAGGGCCTCAGTGATAATTCATTTAGACAGTCCTGTAGATTGCCCAAAGCTCTGGCCAGTGGAACTATTTTAATCACTTCATGGTTTATGCACTGAACTGGAAATTGAGGAGAATTGATCATTTTAGGTCAAATTAGAAGAAGATTTCAGTAAAATTCTCCAAGTTACCCACATATCAAGCTTAGCTATTTTGACTTTCATTATGCAATCCCCCTGTCAATTCTGCACGTTTCCTAGTGTATTGAATTAGCCATAATGTCAGTATCCATTTCTGGTGGAAATCATAGCTGAGGCTCTGTCGCTAGATTTGTGTTTTCTCCTCAGCATATTGCTTCTTCTGTTTTGCTTATGAATTCAAACATCCTACTGGTCAATAAAATTTGCATTACCCATCAGCCTCTATGTGGGAAACATCTGCTGAAACCACAAACGTAGTTTGAGGAAGAAAAAAAAAAAAAACTTTTCTTCCATCTTTGCAATTAATGCCCCTTTAAGTGAACTTGTCTTAAGAACAATATTCAACTTTAAACAACACGCCATAGTATTTCTTGCCAAAAGCAAGGTAGGTTTACATCTTGATTAGCATCGATCGCAGTGATGCATTAGAATTGTACTCTGTAGTTTGTTTTTCATTTGTCTTACCAAACAATACTACTGTTGTTTTCGGTTCCATTCCACAAAGGTCATTATCATCTCTCATACTATATAGCCAAAGAGGTCAGTCACAATGATCGACTCCGGCACTGAAACACCTGAATTCATGTGTTGATCAGCTGCACAAAATATATAACCGTATACAGGGGTCAAGTTCTGCGGAAGAGTGCGGGAACTCACCCAAGATCCATCTCCCCCCCCCCTAAAAAAAATTATACGCTCGTGTATACATATTTCATTTTTTAAAGACCGGTGAGTAGCCATTTCTATAATGTCGTGTTATTTCTTGACCCTGAAGAAAGTCCCGAACGGGGACTGAAACGTTGGTCACTATTTTTAAACTTCATTAAATAAAATTTCATTTTTTTAAAGACCGGTGAGCAGCCATTTCTATTTGGATACTGTGTCATATGGAGCTCTGGTTGATGCGCCCGGCAGTGAAGCGGTTAAAGCGTGAGTGCAGGGGATTTTTGTATATATATATATATATATATATATATATATATATATATATATCTGGGTGAAGGGGTGACAGTGTGTGGAGGCTGAAAGTAACTGGGGATGGTGTTGTATGGAGGGGGTGTCAGTGTGTGTATGGGGATGATAGAGTTTGTGTGTGGGTGATAGTGTGTGCGTGTATGGGGGGAATGACAGGGTGTGTGTGTGTGGGTGATAATGTTTGCGTGTATGGGGGTAATGACATGGTGTGTGTGTGGAGAGGTGACAGGGTGTGTGAGGGGGGCTGTGACAGAGTGTGTGAGGGGGGCTGTGACAGAGTGTGTGAGGGGGGCTGTGACAGAGCAAGTGAGGGGGGGGCTGACAGGGGTGTGTGAGGGGGGGCTGACAGGGTGTGTGGAGGGGGCTGTGACAGAGGTGTGAGGGGGGCTGTGACAGGGTGTGTGAGGGGGGGCTGTGACAGAGTGTGTGGGAGGGGGGCTGCATAGAGTGTGTGGGGAGGGGGGGCTGTGACAGGGGTGTGTGTGAGGGGGCTGTGACAGGGTGTGTGTGTGAGGGGGGCTGTGACAGGGTGTGTGAGGGGGGGCTGTGGGACAGGGTGTGTGGAGGGGGGCTGTGACAGGGTGGAGGGGGGGCTGTGACAGGTGAGGGGGCTGTGACAGGTGTGAGGGGGCTGTGATAGTGTGGTGGAGGGGGGGCCGTGAGCAGGGTGCGTGTGAGGGGGGGCTGTGGCTGTGGTGTGTGAGGGGGGCTGACAGGGTGAGGGGCTGCATGGGGTGTGTGAGGGGGGCTGTGACAGGTGTGCGGAGGGGGGCTGTGGACAGGGTGTGAGGGGGGCTGTGGGACAGGGTGTGTGAGGGGGGCTGACAAGGGGTGTGTGAGGGGGCTGTGACAAGGTGTGTGGGAGGGGCTGTGACAAGGTGTGGGTAGGGAGCGCCGTGACAAGGTGTGGGTAGGGGAGCTGTGAGAGGGTAGGGGGGCTGTGAGAGGGTAGGGGGACTGTGAGGTGGGTAGAGGGACTGTGAGGTGGGTAGGAGGGCTGTGAGTGGGTAGGGGGGTAGTTGATTGGGTAGGGTCAAACAAACACTTTTTTAAAAATCCACCCAGCTCTTTCTTTACCTGGGGTCCAGTGGGGCTGCTGGCCGATCTGTGTGGGTAGTTAAGGTCCAGGCAGGCAGGGAGGGAGCGCTGATCTGTGAGCTCTCCCTGCTCAGCTCCCTCACGCGCTGTAGAGTGATGCAGGGAGCCAGGAATATGATGTCATATTCCGGCTCCTTGCATCACTCTGCAGTGTGCGAGTAGGCTGAGCAGGAGGAGCTCACAGATCAGCGCTCCCTCACCGCCCGCCTGCCTGCAAGGCTAACAAGGCAAATGCCTTGTTTACCTCGCGGGCAAAAAAGTCCTGCAGGACCACTAACGGGAATGGTGTTCCTGCTGTGGAAAAAGTGCAGGAATGACGTTCCCACGCGTTCCTGCAGGACTCGAGCCCTGACCGTATACAAAAGGGAATTCAATAAACACTGAACAGTGGTATGTTGCCAGTGAAAAAGTTTCAAATCAGATAAGGCACGTCAATTAACTATTTAGTGAATAATGCCCAAAGGTATCACTTTTTTTGTGGTTAAACAAAACATGCATCACACTGGCTATTTCAGAGCCAAAGAATTGAGTGATGTATTTTCTTTAATTCACTTTGAGGATTCAAAGTAGATTTAAAATGAATTTCAAATTTGATGCCAAAGTAGCCGAACTGGAATTTTTACCTTAAATTTGAAATTCACTTTTAATTTTCCCTTTAGTCGAAAAAAAAAACCCTGTATGTTTTCTGCCAGGTACATTGAATTGTCCTTTTTACTTGCCAAAGCATCCACCTCACCCTTGGTAATGAGTGAGATTCATTAATTTCCTATAATGAAGATATTGTTCACTAAAAGATTCATGAATGCTGAATCCCACCAAGAGTTGGAAACCTCTGAGTTACCGGTGATTAACCTAGCAGAGTTGTAACTTCCGAGGTAATAATACATCATTTTTTAATAGTTCCTTCTTGCTTCAAAGTTTATGTTCATGCGATTTACAAAGCTAAAATGTAACTGTCCAGGTAGCAAATAGTGCATTATTTTCTAATTCCTTTTATCGTGGGAGTCTATCCAGTTTCCGTTTTTAGTGCATTGTGTAACAGACACATGAAGATACGCCTCAGAACCCCAAACTCACTTCTAAAATCTAGTACTGGGTCGGCCAGCTCACCACTCCTCCCATTTTCTGGAGAAGTTTGGCTACTCTAATCATGAACAACTAAGTCCTGAAAACTTCATGTACTAAGACTTGATTAGGCAGTAATACAAAAAAAAAAAAAAGAAACAAAGTTCAATTTTAAAAGGCACCATGGAGTTATGAGCCAATTATAGTATCCAGTGTTCAGTGGTTTGTTTGTTTGTTTTTTAGCAAAAATATAAGAGCTTCAATAAAAAAAAAAGAAATTAAAAAATTCCCCCCGGGTTCTAATTTGTAAGTTGCAATATGTTGCAAAACACTTCCGCAGCAATGTGTTCAATGACGTCCTGGTGAATAGCTTCCCAGACTTTTTATCCCATGTCTTGGAAAAGCAGCATCTCGGTCATGGAGATTAGGGCTTTACTAAACAATCCTTATCACATAGAACTCAGCGATAAGGAGACAAGATGAGAGATCATAGATGAGAAGGTAGTCATATACTCTCTTTCTGGGGTCACTGGCTTCACCTTGTGCTACAACCTTTCCACTGTACCACTGGAGTGAAAAGGAAGCCTAGGTTGGATATTAACAGAACATCCAACTGATGTTTACAACGTAACCAGCCTCAGATTCTAACATGGAATCTACTTCTCCAAGTAACCATGAGGTTGTACATAAGTTTGGTTTACAACAGAAAACCAAGATTTCTCCTTCAACATAAAAGAAGGCTACATGGATACATTGACTATACGACTGTCTCGTTGCCCTTTCCTGGTTTGACCCATGCATCAGCTCTTTTCTTTCTTTTTACTTTCCCTGAATTAACCAGTCTGTTGGAACATCTCTGCCATGTGTGCAGTGTCTTGGCTGACCATATCCACATGCCGGAGGTGATGCCTACCAACAGTGACATAAAAATTTTGAGCATTTCCACAGCCATGTTGGAGTCATCAGCAGTATAACGGAAAACAGCCCAGTTGGAGATTTCGTAGAAATAGCACGCTATAACACAGGTCGCCGGAACAGTGTACAATACAGAGAAGACACCAATTTTTACCATCAGTCTCTCCAACTTGTCCGTTTTGGTTCCATCTTTCTGAAGGTTGGACCTGATTTTAAACAGAGCTACAAGACCAGCAGCAATGAACAGAGTCCCTATTACCAAATAGGTAAAAAGTGGGGCAACCACGAAACCGGTTAGTGCATCAATGTTTTGATTGCCAACATAGCACAAGCCAGTCAATTCATCAGCATCTACCAGTCTCATAATCAAGATGACTATGGTTTTCACTGCAGGGATAGCCCAGGCTGCAATATGGAAATAAGAACTGTGCATTTCAATAGCCTCGTGTCCCCATTTGAGTCCAGCTGCTAGAAACCAAGTCAATGTCAAAATAACCCACCAGATGGAGCTAGCCATCCCGAAAAAGTACATTAGCAAGAAAATAATTGCACATCCTGTGTTCTTCAGACCTTCTTGTATAAGAACAGGTTCTGCTGCCTCTTCAAAATCGCAGGATATCCTTTCCCGACCCACAGTTAACCTCACAATAAAAGCAATGCTATAAATATTGTAGCACATGCTCAGAAAGATGATGGGTCGTTCAGGGTAAGAAAACCTGGATGAGTCAATAAGAAATGTTAGAACAGTGAAGGCAGTTGATATAAAACACAAGCTGGCCCATATGGCCATCCAAATGTCGGTAAATTCCTTAGACAATCGACTGTAGAGTCCAGCATTGTAGCCACATTTAAGAACACAGGTTGTGCTCCTTTTTACCCAGGTGTACTGGTCAGAATTTGGCCCAAATGAATTGCAGTCCTCTCCAGGTTGCAGAGACGTCTTGCTATGAAGGTTGACCTCATCGTCCCCAGGACCCTCCATGCACATGTGATTGTGGTCATTCTGAGGTGGGAACTTGCTGCAGTTAAGGCTGTCTGGCCAAGCAAAACCAAACTCTTTTAGGACTGGTTCACATCTTCTCTTGACGGACAGACACATCCCACCACAAGGACCAATCGGTATATTTATTTTCTCGGTGCACATTGGGACGTACACGGAACACAGAAAGAACTAAAAGAAAGAAAACAAAAATTAATTTAAGTAAGATATTCCAAGAACTATGCATAGATGCATTTAACAAGGATCATATTACATGGTGTACGCAGATTAGTCACATACACAACAAATAACACATTAAATATAACCAAACACATTTGTGTGACTCTACAGCAGTGGTGAGACCTGCAAGTCTACTTGACTTTCTATGCCTGCCATCCCTGAACAGCTCTGACCAACGGTGATTGGGGACACACTCCTACAATGAATGCAGTGTTCAAGCACTGCAAATGTCATTGCACCCCTTTTTCTAAAAATAAAAAGCTCTGTCTGAGTACAAAGAATTACTAGAGGATTGTGTTGCAGGCTGTCAAGACCTACAGTTCCCATGAGCTGCTAAGAATTAATGTGGAATTCTCACCAATGCTCATTATGGATTGTATTTTAAGCCTCAGCATTTAATATTTCAATATGTTTTCATGCCCAGTAAAGCTTTCTGTCAATGTAGGACCTATTTTTATCTTAAGACTGTAGGGCGCATTCTCTAAACACCAAATTAATGAACTAAACCCTGCATTGCAAACTTCAGGATTACATAGCTAAGCTGTGGTTATAGCCAAGGTGGAGACATTTTCTAAATCTGTACTTTGTCCCTAAATGTATTAATTTATTAAATTGTATAAGTGTTTAATGAATAACACGTTCTGAGTACAAAGCACGGGATAGCAGGTATATTTATTTTTCTAACAATAATTACGGCTAATTACACAAACCATAAGGAATTATTAAACACAGTACAACGGCCTGGCAAGGTGAAGGTATGATTTGTTTAAAACGTCCGTTTGACCTTTCAACTCAAAAGCTTTTTGCAGTAAAACCGTCTTGATAACAGTGTGTTGTTCTGCTAATCCGTTATATCAAACTGTTTGTATTCTTTGACTGACTGCTGTGAATTGTCATGTTTCTTATCTACAGTTCTCCCGCCCAAAGGTAAACTGAGATAACTGGACATTTTCCATCTGGACATGTATTGAGCTAGCCTTTCCTTAACCCTCCTACAGCCAGTTGATTGAGTGCTGGTTGCTGTGAAATGCGTTAGGCAATCAAATAGTTAACCCTCCTCTATAGTACACTTTCTTTCTCTCTTTCCTTTGCCCTACCAAGTAATTATCACAGTGACCTTGCTAATGATGAATTGAATGTAGCCTGGGTTTTTTTTTTTTAGCTTTTTTTTTTTGTTAAAAAGCCTGAAATTAGCAAGGATCCTAATCAGTCTCCCACAGAAAGGTGGAATGGTTAACAAGCAAATAGTTCTACCCTCACATTCCTGCTGAGCTGAGTGGCCCTCTCACAATGAGCTGGGATCCTAAGATCAACAAATGATTGTAAAATGTCAAAGACTAGAATTCCTGCTCTACACCCAGTGAGCCTGGGAGAGCATCTCTCTTTGTATCAATGCCCTGTAAACAGGTTACTGACAGATAAGGGACTCCACACAAATCACTGAGTGGGAGGGAGGGGTGGGGGAGGGCAACATTTTTAGGGACCCTAAGAGACAAGGCACCCATCTCCAACACAAACACTGGATCGATATCGAACAGTGAAATATAGTATGGAAAATGACTTTATTTTACCACAATTGTATTTTTATTGTGGAGCTTATTCATTTAATTCCATTTTTTTCCCCTGTGACTTGATATTGGACATTTTTGATAAAATAGCGGATTTGAAAAACATTAACCCAGCTTGCATGATTTGGCCCAGATTCTGACATTTTAATTTGCTACAATGTTGAAGTTTAGTGAATAAACCATTGTAGGCTCATTTCAATGAATCAGGGATTATTGAGAATTTACAAGAGAACTGCAAACTACAAGTCAAATTAATTAAAGCTGAAAAATAACCGTTTGAGAATTGTTTCTAGTTTCGCCTAAAATATGCAATTCTCTTTCCAGTTCTCAACAATTTCCACTTTAGTGAATAAAACCCATTATGTATAAAAATAAAATCTACGCCCTGGGATAAAAGGGGTGTAGATGTACTCTTGGTCAAGTACATTATTTTTATTATAGTGATACAATAGTATAATAAATGCACAAAGATACAGCGTATTGTACAGCGCTACGGATCCGATGGCGCTATATAAATAATATAATAATATCCCCTGTATGATCAATATTTCCACATCATATACTATAGGGCATTAAGCTCTGGTCAAGTAGGATCATTCAGTTCACTAAACACTGGATTTGCACCCATTGTACAGCACTATGGAATCTGATGGCGCTATATAAATAATAATAATAATAATAATAATAATAATAATAATAATAGTTAGTTCACTTGGTTAATTTTAAAATTTAGACCAAAGTATAAAAGCTAAAATAATTTAGCAAGTCGCTGCTTAGCGAATATCCCCTTTCAATATATCTAGCTTTGTAGACTTTTGTGATGGTAAATAAATTGATGATAATTATAGGGCTAAATTACCTATATGTTCCTATTTATAAAAATTTTTTAAAAGGGGGGTAATTTAATTCACTCATAAAAGCCTCTAGTTTAGAGCACTTTAGCAAATTTCTTGGTGTTTACATATATCTAAAGTTACAAAAATAACAAAATGTATAAACAGACAGTAACACAGTGGGACATAATGTAAGCTATTCAACCTGTCTGATTTATGATCTGATCCTTTGTCACTTTCCTAAAAGTCAAAAATCCTAGACTTTAAAATAAATACACAGTAACATTTTATACAAGGGCTCTTTTTATTTTGTACTTTAAAAAGATAAAATATCCCAAGTGAGAAGTACAAAACACATAATAAGATATACAAAGTATATATCTTATTATATATAAATAATTAAATAAATTTAAGGGAATCTCTTCCAGGGGCTATGACTTAATAGAGCAGAGTGCTAATATGCACTATATGGGATTAGACAGATTTACAGCCTGGAAATAAAGTGAGGTCAATAATGAACTAAATGATGTTATAAGGTTAGATTTAACCAATTCAGATCACTGATAAATGCTACTGTAACTGAGCAAAATATACATTGGAGTTATCCTCATTATGGATAATTCCAATAATAAAATTAATTTTAAAAAAATCAGTATTGAAAGAAATGGGGCTTTTCTAAAATGTTGCTTTTAAATAGTAAATTCGAGTTGGTTCACAGATACTCTGGGTATGCATTTAAATTGAGTCTGTTAGTCATGCAGATGAAACAGATTAAGCTTTAAATGCTGAAACTATTCTGCATTTAAAAAGAAAAAAGGAGGTCGAAATGCTATTTAACTGCTAAAGAGAAATGGACACAAAACACTTCTAATGAGTTTTTCTTATCTGCTAGTTGCCCCCTGGGGTGGGTGATACACTGTATCAGAGAGGTACCTACCTGTAACTGGTTAGAACAGCCATACTGGATCAGAGGGGTAAAAGTGGTAAGTTGAAGCTCTGCATCAGTTTGTAATTCATGGCCAACCAAGTTTGGCATTTTGGTTACATTGTACCCAAGGTTCTGGCACATGGAAATCCTGATGGGGTCACAGCGCCTTTCCTCTTCATCTCCAAAACATGACACATTCCCCAAAAAGCAGCAGACAAGAGTTAAGTAGAATGCCAGGTATCTGGGCTCCATCCTTGCAACCACTTTTTTCTTAAAATGTAGTAATAATCCCAGGTAACAATGTGCTGCTCAGGCTCCTTCACATGTGAGAGCAGAGGTCTTGGGAGATCCTTGCAGAACAAGTCCTACTCTCTGCACAGCAGCACCAAAGAATAGCCCTGTGCAGGTCCAGCCACACTCCCAGCAAATTCAGGAGGAGAGCCCCTCACACTCCCAGCAGAGCCCTCTTTGTGAGTCTCTGGTATTACTTGTCAGAGAGGACTTGCTCTGCTGGTGCAGTGTTATTGTCCAGCTCTGAGCTTGCTAACACCTCTCCAGCTCAGTGCAGTGTGAATTCTCCCCTCACTGTACTAATGGGAGGAGGAGAATGGAGAGGGAGTGTGTATAGCAGTCACACAGAGGAATGGGGGAGAGAGCAGAGCAGGGAGGGGGGTGAGGAGATCCCATGGTACGGTATCCACAGAGGATCAGACCAAGCAGGGTCTCAAATTTCCTCTGGTCCTTTCACTTCACACTAGGGCTGGATTTTTTAACTCTCACTGTGCCCTTTGACTTTCTCAACTTGCAGGGCGACCAGTTTAATATATTTATAGCATCCTGGCTGTAAGGGTTAACTTCCTTTCCTGTTCTGCTAAAGGACTTTTTTCTAACTTTTCTAACTCCAATTTTTTTTCTCATTTATATATATATATATATATATATATATAAAAATGTTCTTGTACTTAATAGAATTGTATGGCTGTAATTTAGGGATTTGAAAAGATTTTAAGGGGTGGGGGAATGGCCTTTAAATTTAGTACATATGTTTTATATTCCTGTTAATGGTAAAAGCAGAAAGTTAAATGAGTTAAATAGACTGGGGGCTTATTGAAACTCATAGTTGAACTGTATGTGCCGATTAGGGGCTCATTCACTAAACAGTGAATTGTCAAACGGTTTCAAAAAACAGTAGGACAATTCTAACTAGTACTAGGAAAATATGTAGAGTCAGTTCCATACAATTTTCTTCTTTTTAATTCAAACTTAAGTGAATAAACCATAGAAAGTTATTCACTAAACACCAACTGGTAGTGAATTGAAACACAAATTGCAAAGTTTAACCAAACCGTGACTACAACTGAGTTGGTTTAAAAAAAAAAAAAAAACACTTTTTGTCCATACATTTCAATTCAGTTTTTGTTTCATTTCAATTACATTTTTTTAGTGAATTAGAATGAGATGGTCCATAAGCTTGCAATCTAACAGAGTTAATGGGGAGTGAGACAAATGTTAGCAGAGAATGTAATCTGTCACCTCACTACAAACCACTATTTAGTAAATATACCAGCACTGCGTGAGAGGAGGGAGTCAATTCTAGTGCACTACTGGAAGTTAGATGGTCCACTTTGGACCATTGGTGGACAAACTTTATGTAACCAACCATCCATGAATAAGCCAGCGGCAATGTCTAAATCTACTCTTGAACTGATTAGTTGGTAGGAAATTTGGATGTAGGTTGATGTAGACTTATGCACAAATCCCGTTCAGCTGCACTGAATGAATCAAATGCCTGTTAATCGCTGGACGAACGAATCTATTTGTTCATCAGATCACGAACGCATCAATTGTTCGTCCAGCGGTTCACAGACATTTGATTTGTTATAGCAGCTGAACGGGATTTGTGCACAATCTAATAAATGTTTGAATTCCTATACTTTGCAAGGGATTTTCCTTTTTTTTTTTTTTTTTTTGGGGGGGGGGGACAATTTTGCAAGCAAACATAACATTTTGACAGATTGCATGTTCTTTATGAACTTTGGGTGCACCTCTAACCTTTTATTAATACAAAAATTACAATGCATGGTCAGTTGTTTTTTTTGTTTTTTTTTTCTACAGTTCCCTTCATGTAGTTATTTTAAAGCAAAATGTTACTTAGAAGTAATTCAGTCAACGGTGTTAATCTGGGTGTTAATTCACTCGAGTTTACGGTTTAGCGAATAAGCCTGTCCACATTTGTTTAGTAAATCTTCCTACTAGAGTTTCTGCCAGAGCATTGGTTTTTTTCTGCACTGAAGTGTGATTGATAAGTGACCTCCTGCAGTGGCTGAAATCATTAAAATCACACAAACCCCAGGGCTCAATTGACCCCTTGTAGCCCAAAGCAGTCTGCCATCAGCCTGTAGTAGGCCTTTGTTTGCATTTGATGTGAATGCATTCTCTCTTTCTTTTGACATGTTGCTGAGAGATCAGCTCTAAAAGTGTCCACTTCATTGGAGCTACAGGAAAGTTGTAACAGATCATAATGTTATTGCAGTAATATACACACTTACTCTTATTTACTAAACACACAATTGTCGTGGACTGAAAAGCGCCAAACGGAAGGTAAAATAGCCAAACTGTGACTATTGCGAAGTTGGAGAGATTTTACAAATCAATCATTTTTACCTCATTTTTACTTTTTGATTTTCACTTGAATACGATTCAATGTTTAGGAAATGAACCCTTATATTTTTGTGTTGTATAATATGAGGACATTTGTAATTCACTATGAATTTTCACTTTTGTGACTAACCCCATAAGGTGTTGTTTTTCCCTGCTCTGCCCAGGTCCCAGTACAAAGGCCTGTGTTACTTTGTTTTGTTGTTGTGTTTTTATTTGAATAAAGTTGCATTTAATAAAGCTTTGACATTGGTATCCCAAAAAGTGTTTAATTGCTGTCAACAATTTAATGCTTTATCATACGTTGTCACCCTCCTCTCGGTGCAGGGACACTGGGGTATATTAAAAAATCAAAACAAATCTGACAGATTTCATAAAGTTCAAATAAAAATCTCCAAATTCTTAGAAGGAGAAGTGTGACACTTTGATAAATATCTATATCATAAAGTGATTGTTTTTAACTCTTTCACTGTATGAGGTTTGATTTCCTTCAGTTTTACTTACAGGAAAACAAACATTCAAATCAATTAGCCTTCCAATGTTTATAAGAAGTGCATCTTATAATGCTGAGTATTAGTTCATATTCCCTCAACAGACAATCAAAAGGTTAATGCTGATTATTTATTTGCTTGTATATATTGGACTAAACAACGTTTTATTTTATATATTACATCATGTATCATAATATGACTTACTACTGAGGTTAAATCTACATTTAAAATGTTAAATCCCAGGATAATTGACTTAAAGGAACACTATAGGCACTTCAGCTCATTGAAGTGGTCTGGGTGCAGTGTCCGAGGTCCCTTAACCTTACAATTGTAATTATTGCAGTTTTGAATAAACTGCAATAATTACCTTTTGAGGGTTAACTCCATCTCTAGTGGCTGTCTACCAGCAGAACTTCCGAGAACTAACGCTGGATGTCCTCACACTAGACATCTGTATACATCCAGAGTCATGTAAAACCCTATAGGAAAGCATTGTATAATCCTTTCTTATGGGAAAATACTAATGCGAGCGTGGCCATTACTGCGCATGCGCATTAGGTCACACCCATCAGCGAAGAAAAAACGGAGCCTGAACCATCGCCGATGTCCCAGAAGGAAAGTTTTTAACCCAGTCTGGACCACAGGCGGTGAGTCTGCGAGGGAGGGGGTAACAATAGGGAGCTATAGTGCCAGAAAACTTTACGTTGTTTTCCTGACACTATAGTTTCCCTTTAAATGAACAACAACAACAAAAAAGTCCTTTTCAGGTATTTACCAAAGGCAATTTAGATGCGAACTCAGATAATGTCACCAGTTATTAAATTCAGAGTCAAGAACTTGTATGTATCGAGTCAGCTTTATGTATCAAATGTTACTGGCAGAAGGAACAGTCACGACAGTGCAGCCTGCGGAGTTATGAGTATGTACATTCAAGGCAATGTTACTACCAGTATATAGGAGTATTGGTTTAGCTGTGGTTTGAAGAAAATCCCCTGGCCTAAAGTTCATCCTATAGGCATGAGCAAGATGTGTTTTGGTTAAGCCAAATGTGTCTTTTTTTTTTTTTTAAATTGGCACAATTCAAGTAAAATTTAGATGGCAATTTTCTCTGCATGCACACGTTAGAGTCTTGTTCTGTGTATGCCTATGGTCACTCCATGATCTGGCCATCAGAAAAGTCATTCCTAAAGGTATCTACTCAATGTGACTCAGAAGTACCAATTTCCTCTGACCTTTGAGACGTAATGGCAGGTAATTGAAGAACATCTCCTGTTGACTGTAAGCTCACTTGAGCCGGGTCTTCATCAATCTATTGTTCCTATTAAAATTTGTAATAGTTTGTCTCATTTGTTATTAAATTCCCCTTAATATTGTAAAGCTCTGCAGAATAAGTAGTTTGCATATAAATGTCTATAATAATAACTGGTCCATCTAAAGTTGACAAGCTAGAAGAGAGCGATTCTCTCGCAGATCGCAAGTTGTGACCTAGAAGATAATTGTAATGAAGGTGCACTTGACTTAGAACAAACTAGAGTACTAAATGGACTGCCCCCCCCCCCCTGCTAAGGACACCACTGGACACAGCAAGAATATAGAACATAATAATAGGGGAGGGTGAGCACTTACCACCACTGCAGGGAATCCTAATGGGAGCAGAAAAGGCTTTATTATGCTTAGTGCCATTAAATCTCCAGGGGGCTGCATAGTATTAAAAAATAAATCCTACCCCTGCTGTCAGACACGGCTTCCTTCAGGCTGGGAGCGGGATGGGGGTAACTTAGCTAAATCCTGCATTCAGATACTTTCTAACAAAAGAGGAGCAATATAAAATACCCTCTTTTGCACCTGACCATATCACTATGGGTCAATAACTAAACTCCTCTTTCCTACTGTCGGAGTCATAGAGACTGGATTGGCTGGCAAGGCTAGATTTGCTGCCAATCCTGCCATTATAATGATAATCGGGGAGATGAGCTTAAACTGAATTAGAAAGGAGGAGATAAACAGCCGAATGGTATCCATGAATAGAACAGCGAATATCTACTGAAAAACAGGATTTTCCTGTATGATCCAGGGTGGATGAGTAATCCAGGTAACAAAAATATATTTTTGCAGGTATAGGAAAAATAGCTGAGAGTGCTGTGAATGACTTGCTTTTTTTGTTTAAAAATTAGTGAGTCCGAGAATATTTAAGTCCCCTATTTTAAATCAAAATTTTAAAAATAATATTTTCGTATCAAAATTTAAGTCAATGATATTAACAAACCACATGCGATGTAGGTTATTTAATAACCTTCAAGTTTTTGGACATTATTAAACACGTGGCAGACTTGTAGAAGAATAATAAAAAAATAAATAAATAATAAAGGCCAAAATAATTGTCAGATTATATTAAATACCGAGAATGTTTGTCCTAGGGCTGCGAAAGACACCAGTAAACAAAACGTTCATAATAAATAAATGGAGGGGTTTTAAAAAAAAC